TATATATATATATATATATATATATATACATATACATATATATATATATATAGACTGCATTCAGAACATTAATATAGCATTAAAGAACCTGTTATCTGGACCAACGGCATCATTACAGAAGGGTAAACAAAAATATCATAGGCTCAATATAACACAACAAGATTTTAAAGCAGCTGTCCACGGAACTAACTAAATCAGTACATTTTTACGAGGAACATTTATTTGCAAAGGTTCTCATTGTTATGACCCTTAAATAATAAAACAAGAAAAGCATTTACAGAAGTGATAGAAATGCAAACACTAGGTTTATTGGCCTTTTACTTTCTGGGAACATGTGGTTAAAATCCTTTAATACTGTTCTTAAATTAATGTATTTGATTGGAAAGTCTTGAGGAGCTCCAAATGTATTTATTGTCTTATTTGTTATCTTAATCTGAAAATGTTGACTCTGTTTCTACCCCTTTTGGACTCTTTTCAAACCCTGTCTTCCTCCTCTCTCCCTCCCCACTTTCTTCCATCTACATCTTCAACCGTACCCACTCTTGATTCCCTTCACTTCCTTACCGGGTCGGACAACATGGTGCGCAGGTGTGAGGCCAAAGCGAGCACAGCCAGGGAGTTGAAGGTGGCCCCGTTCAGCAGCGAGTACCAGAAGTTCTTGCTGGGCAGCAACATGACAAAGTTCACCACAAACTCAGCGTACAGCACCAGGAACCAGGTGATGCCGGCACACACCATCCCACAGCTGTCCTGGATGAACCACAGTGTGCGGGCCCCCCCGGCGTGGCCTGCATTGGGACCCCCGACTATCACCCCCGCTGCCAGGCTCCCTGCCTCCACATCTGCTCCTGCCGACAGCAGCGGGTGGTGCTGCTCCAGGTCCCTCAGCCGGTGGTTTGAAGACTGCATCTGGAGGGGAGGGGAAATAAAGGAGGCAGAACTCAATTCAATGCTGCCGTCTTCCCACAATAAGAAAATAAAAAAGACAGCACATACACAGCAGTTATTTCCATAATAGGCCTACACACTGTTCTTCACAACTATTGGCTTAAAATACGGAAATGGCGAGCAGCTTTTTGTATAGAAAGCTATTGAAGCTATGAAACATGACCAAAAGAAGGGGAACTGAAAAAGACTGATATGAATACATAAAGTTCCACTTAAATAAAAGATACAAGGATGGGCGCTTTATTAAAGAGGCCATTTAGAAACCCTCAATATTATTGTAAACAAGCCTTAAAGTAAATAACATTTATCAAGTGTATCTGTGTATATTTTCTCCCTGGGTTATCACTTGAGCAAAGGTCACAACGTTTTCAATATCATCTGAAAACATCACATTAGAACCCTGATTTGAGTTTTCTGTTGTGTGGCAGTCAGACCAGGAACTGACAGCTTGCGTAAACCAAAGACAGACAAACACTTTCACTCTCATTGAACAGTTCAGATCATGCTCAGGGCCGCATGAGTCATTGGAGTTTCTCTTCTGTTTTAATGTCAAGGTCACAAGAGAGTGCTGGTATCTGCCTGAGAGGCTATGTCCGTAGCTTTAAGATAAATCAATAGCTGACCTGATCCCTTCTGGAAACTGATCCTGCAGCTGAGGAACATGTGAGGAATACAGGCTAATAATAATCCTAAATGACCCCCTGCTGGCATGCTTCACTGTGACTCACTGAGACAAACAAAACAAAGAATCCAAAGCAGCACAATAACATACTCCGTATTCTGTAATGTTAGGTTTCTTTGGTGTTAAAGACATTGCAAATTAAGCTACAGTTAGATTCACTTGAACTTAGATTACCGTAATTTTCGGACTATAAACCGCGCCTTTTTCCCTATTTTTGGACGCTTCGGCTTATATAACGGTGCGGCTAATCTATGGATTTTTACAGCTAACGGCCACCACCTTTAACTCTATGGGCTCTATGGCCGGTCCGCGGACCCCCACCTTTAAGCGGCGGGTTCCAGCAGGAAAAGCTGGAGGCCGGAAAAGAGTGAGACAGGTAGCGCGCAAAAGTAAAAGTGGAACCGAGAGTGGTATGCCGCTGCTGCGGCTTATATTCAGGTGCGGCTTATAGTCCGAAAATTACGGTACAAATGTCTAGCTGTCCTTGCACAAATAATCAGAGTGTAGATACTACGTAATCAAAGTATTTGATTAACTCTTGTTTTCAGAATTTAGGACAGAGTTTCTTGTTGAAATCCAAGTTTTCAAAGCTTTTCGTTCAACACAATAAAATGTGAGAGGCTACTGATAACACAAGTGAAGTAAAAGAGTATAACTGCATAGCGTTTGCTGCATAATCATTGGGTTAAAAGGGTGTTGTTAAATACATAATGTGTTGACATGGCAGTGAGATTCCTTTGAAAATTGTCTGTCATATAATAAAAAGTGATAAACGGTGTGTAATATAAACTCACTATGCACGTGTTGTGTTTTTATGACACTGTCTTTGACACAAATCCAGACATTTCTATACAACCTCTTCATTCCTGAAATACAAGTCGGAGACACAGCTGAAATAACAAGCTTACACTGAGTTATGTTTTAACAGAAACATTACCTCACGCATCGGTCATTATTTAGCCACACTATGGACTCCAGTTGTTCGGTAGAAGTGTGTATTGCATTATCTGTTACTCTAGCTGACTGTGATGTAATGCTTTGAAGCAACTAACTGCTTCCTTCTCTTAAACAGTTGAATCAAATTAGACATGTCCAGTGATATGGGTGGTGCAGCGCTAAGCTTTCAGTTCAGCTGACCAGCCAACAGGAAGCATTGAAACACCACACTGCTGTGCGTTTCTGCTTGCTTCTTAAACTTTCCATGTCAGTGGGTGTCATCCAAATTG